CCTGTCTCAGGTGACCGATACAATTTGCCTGGTTCATTAGAATATGAAGGCTTCATGTAATAAATGATTAGATTTGGCTTACCCGCTGGACTAGTTTTCCTAGGAACCTGCATCTACTGCATGTGCTTGTGCGGGACGGCTTGGGACCTGCCTCCCACTATTCGTAGGCCCTTCACTAAGTTTCTATAGTTTGGCCGTTGGAGCCTTCGGGGTTTACACTGAATTGTACGACTCATAATTATAAATTGTAGCGACCCAAAGTTTTAAAATACAATGGTTGCAAAAGTATTTGTATTCTTAACTTTCAACTCATTGTTATCCACATGCAGCATGCAATATGCGCTTTCCCCTATCCCATGCTCGTACTGTATTATAAAATCACGATATTCTCATGTCTAAAATTAGATTCCTAAAACTGAGATTGTTTCTCATGACGTGCTAGCGATTTAAATGTTTGTGTCTTCACCAGAGTTCAGGAGCTTCCATTTGATATAAACCTCATATTTGTAGATATCGTGTGAAGGATATATGTGTATGATCTGGCTAAATGTATAAGTTTCACCCTGTGGGAGAAACTAAAACTGAGCCAGACCTTAGAGTCGAGCTGAGACCGTTTAGTCGATTACGTTAATTAATGTGCTACTTTTTGTCGTCGATTACTGAGTGTCCCTTAAAAAGTTACATCCACCACAAGATCCTGAAGGCAGGAAACCCCCCCTACAAGCCACGCCCAGCGTGACACGGCTGATGATGCCAATGAACGGTCCAATCCCTGCCGATCACCTCCGGCACATGCGGGAATAGAAGAGAGACTCTTTTTTTACCCCCGACTGTTTCCGTCATTCTATTCAACGAATGGGTGGACAGTCGGGAGAATAGTAAATTATTAACACGACCGGATATCCCAGCTCCACCTTGTAGCCACCTTTAAACTGGGATGATGAGACGGCACTGCTCACCGAACCCTCCCTGTTTTGCTCCTCCTGTTCGGACGTTCCCAAGAGCAGAGGAATACGTCTCACGATTGGCAGGGTAAACAATAATTGTCCTTCAGCTGCTACGATGAGAAAGATGGGGGGCGATGAGAAAGATGGGGGGGGGGCAGCAACCCTTATTCCTGGACGGGATGAGTTCAGGCTAACCAGTCTGGGGGGGGGGGGGGGGTGGCTTAGGACGGTAGCAAAATAACAGCTGTAAAGTATTGGATTTAAATTTAAGTATTAATAGTATTTGCTGCGCAATAGTGGTCCCTGTGCAATAGTGTATAACCGAGTATTGACAGTGTGTGCTGTATGTATATTTATAAACACAGCGGCTGTGTGTTTACATGCATGTACTTTGAGCATAGGAGTGGAGCGAAATAAATAGTACATTGCTAAATATGAAAGTCAAATTTGTGTTGTTGTAAAGCTGGCCTTAATCTTGTTTATCCTGAAAAAACATCACTCTAGAGTGGCTTAAAATGTCCCGTATAAATGTTTTTATTAAATGTATTTCTGCTTGAGTTAATAAGCTATATTACTATGCAATGTATTGCAATTCCTGTATGTACATTTATACGGTAAATAATGAAAGAATAAGACACTAGAATTTACAATTACATTTGCACTAAGTTAAAATTATACACTCACAAGTGCTGCTGCATTACTTATAGATTGAACAAAGCATGATGAAGTGCAAAAATTGGATATTTATTTTTGAGGCAATGAAGACTGCTCTCAAGTAATGCAGAAATAAATGTCTTCAAACATTTTTATGAAAAGTAATGATGGGATTGCTATGATGCGTGTGGACAGCAGTGTTGTAGTTATTATTATCATATTCCATTGATCCCAGAGATCTGACCCCTATTTCAGAATGCGTACAAAACTGACAGTTCGTTATCCGCACGTGGCTTGGGCCTCCCCTAGGCAAATTCAGTCCCCAAAAAATGAATACTGTACCTGGTTAAGTGCGACAAACAGCAGCATTGGGGAGATAAAGACTGATGGGCGTGTGCGGTGCTGCTCTGTAAGATTTAATAATGGGTGGTCGTCGACAGATCCTCATACCCAACGCGAGGTTTGTAATGCTAAAAGAGGGATCTTTGTCCGTGTGGCTTTGGGACCAGATGGGTCATTTTGAACAGACGATCCACTGAGGCCTGTGTTTACAGTGAAACACGGGACGCCTGAATCTTTCCTCCCACAAACCAGCCAGTTCTCTTTATAGCTGTTTTACAAGGGGAAAAGATGGAAGGAGGGAGGGAATGGGGAGGGAATGGGGGGGGGTGTGAATGGTCCAAAATAACGAGGAATCTCGACCAGGAATGAAAAACACCCTCATAAAATCACTGCTCCAGAACCACGGGCACAAAGGCAACCCAGTGCAGAACCCCGTAAAAAACACACACACACGAAAATGTTTCACGCGAAGCGCCTGCGACCCGAGTGAATTCTCTTTTTTTACGTGAATAAAAAAAATATATATTTACGAAGATACGTAGTAAAGAGCATTCAGGCGTTAAGCAACCAATTTGCACAAAAATAATTACTGTGCATTGCTTTTTGGAATTCTCGACATTGACGCTTACCACTTTTAACCGGTGCTTCGTGTACTTTTGCGAAGCGCGTAATGCATTTGTAGGTCAGCGTTCCATGCGAATATATATTCCAATGATGAGCACATCTTTGATTATATTTTATTTTAATTATGCACTAAATTATTAATTGGATGGCCTGTTTCATATATTCTGATTTAAAATGAAATTTAATCATTGTGATCACGACTGGATAGCCACAAAGTGTTACGTCCCTCAAAGCCTGAGGCCACACATGGATGGCTCAAAAGTCAGAGCACATTGTATTGTATTTATTTTAACAAATCACAAAGCCTCATTTATTTATTTTGACAAATGTTCAAAATTACTTCCATTAACATCAATTTTAAGCTTGAATTATGTTTAAACGTGCATTTCATAATATTTGTTTAAGATTACAGGTGGAATCTGAACGTTTATCAATTTTGTTGTGTGAACTAATTTTGGGTTCTTGGTCGAGTTTTGTCAATGACAAATTTGAGGTGAGCCCGCAGGAAGAAGAAACATAGATATAATGTTAATAAATAAATTATTAACTTCAAGACGAAACAATTAATATTTGTTCGTGCTAGTGTTAAAATAAATAGCATAATCCTATGTGCCCTCTATTCTAGGCCGCCCTGTATGCAACAAAAAAAAGCCTACTTCATACAACTTTTCGAACTGGGCAACTTTTAAAGGCTGGCCAGGACTTTTATTCTGCTTCAGTGTCTATTAATAGTTCTGTGCATCAAAAGGAACACTAGGCAAACTGCAATGCCACTTTAGATTGACATCTTCCCACCACTATAAATACAGGTTGCTCCCACAGCAGTGTAACGTTGAGCACATAACATCGCACTTGAGCCTGCTCCATTTGTTTATATCTTTTGGCGCAGCATTGGACACAATGGGGGACATTTTCTTAAATCCCCCCCCCCCCCCGACTATCTTTGCCCATGCAGAAGCATAAATGGCTACACCACATTTGACGGGTCATGTTAGCAATGGTTCGCTATGTACAGTGCGAAAAGAAGTTCACAGACATACATGCATGCATATGCGGTGGAGCGAAGTGTGGGCACTCCCAGCTCTTCCAAGAAGTCTGGCCAACATGGTGGAGTAGGCCAAATATGCTCCAGTGGTTATCTACGCCTCCCTCCTCCTAGTAGAAGCCCTTGTGCCAGCAGTGGCGTGAGTAAGTAAGTTTATTACAAACATAAACAGGCAGGTTTTTATTTATTTATCAATAAAGTGCTGCGGCTGGAAGAAAAAAAAACACGCGAAAGAGAGTTTAACGATGATATGTTTTTTGTTTGAAGATTGGAAAGGTAAGATTTTTTTAGGAATGTCCATGCCAAGACTTAATGCTCAAGAGATGTGGATCAAAAGCCACTTTGGTGTAGCACAAAAATGTTTAAAAGAGGTGCATTCACTGAGAAAACACTGACTCGCAAAGCCACCCAACTTGTAGGAAGAAGGGGAGGGTGGCTCAAGAGAGAGAGAGAGCGGAAAATAAATAAAATTACTGTAAGATAAAAAAAATGGCCAACCCAAAAGAATGAAAGTTATTTCCTGAGAATATTCAGAAACTAAACTTTTCCACTTTTGGCTCCTCTCACTTAACTGAAAGTTCGGGTAAATACCTGTAAATTCCTGCTGTGAAATGCGGGCACACACACACACCCTGGCTGGGCCCGTTTTTTATCAGGAGTTATTTTGTTGGACATAGATTACGGCGAATGCCTCTGAAGTGACTTCACGAGTGCTTAGTAGTTTTGGGAACACTGCACCGTTGTGTGCCAATGGGCCTATATCTTTCTTTGCGGCTTCCGCACACAATTTCCAAACTCAGCGTGATGTAGATCATTTGTTGTTGTTGTTCAATTACTGGCATTACATGTGGCAACAAAGTATTGCCAATAGAACACTTAACAAAGCACAAGTAACGTGTATTTAAAAGTCAAGTAAAATGCGTTTTTTATCACATCCGGGCAGGCATATACATACAAATTCCAGCCACACCTATTTTTACGCTTGAAAACTCAAGACTAGTCAAGAAATTGATAAATGACAACGGGTTTTCGATTAAAAGTCAAACAAAATTGCCACTAATGGCTCTCTGATGTGTTCGGCACGATGTCTGACAATGTGCAACACATTTTGGGCGCGAAACGTCGGACATCACGCAGAACAGCACGCGCTACAACCCTTTAAAAACACACACACACGTAGGCCAAACTGTACAGCGCAAACGCAAACAAAAAACCTACTCGTATCAAGCGGATAAAACTGAAGACCAAAACAAGCTGTGATCTTACGCCGTAAAAAAAACGAACTCAAATCTCCAGCAACGGCACGCTATCGCGGACGTGTGTCGCGGAAAGAAAAAAAAACACAACCCATAAAATCATAAAAGTAGGCACCACCTGCGCTCACATACCTTTGCGCCCCATGTCCCCATCCCGCACCGGAGTTTCGCGGGCATGCGTTTCGAGCAGGATCGGTGGAGCGAGCCCGAGGACTCGGCAGAGTCTCGCCCTTGAATCTGACTGCCGGCTGCCCAGTGCCACTAACTTTGCTCGCACCGGTTTGGAAAGAGGGGATGGGCAGTCACGCATTGGAAGGAGTAGGAGGGGGCGGGTGTGTGTTTTTTTTTGGTTTTTACCCATCCACCCCACCGCCGCCAAAACTTATAGCCCCTGACACTGAATCCCTTAAAGGCAAGGCTCAATGATGTCAAAGTCGCACGCCCAGTTGCGGAAACGGTGGGGGCTGCAGCGCGAGCGGGTTGTTATGACTGCTGCCATAGGACTCGGATGAAACACGAGGTCTTTTTTTTCGTGTGTGTGTGTGAAAACAAAAAAAAATTGGCAAAGTGCTAGAGCGTAGAGCACATGGGAGAATGAGCACGAAATGAGAAAGGGAGATCTGTCGCAAAGACAATGCACAAAGGGACGTGCGGGGGCCTTCTATTTTTCAGACGACTTGGAGCCACAAATGTTGAATATGCCACACGTGATGTGCAAGTGAATTACAGTGAGCTCGACCACGGCTCAACTTTGGAAGGAATTTTTTTCATGTATCCGTACAGTGGTTTCTCAACAATTACTGCCGTAATATTTATAATTTGTATAACTGATACGCACAAGAACTATCTGTGCTCTATCAAAGTGTTGCTGTAAAGTAACATTTAAGACATTATTGGTTCTTTCGGTAAAGTCACGTACGTGAGTCATATGAATATGAATCCCTTGTAGTCACGAAAGGTTTAAATCAAAATTTTACATTTAAGACGTTAAGACGTATATAATTTATATCTTTAACGTTATAATTGGGCGTGACCGCTTGCGCAGGCCTTCATCTAGCAGTAGATTGACCATGGCGGACAATGACCATTCTAATACGCTCTTAATATTTGAAACATGTATGTTAACTTATCCAATATTTTTTACTTGAAATCAGCACAAGCGTACTGTAGTTGCTGGGTGGATTCTACTCGAGCGTATAGCAAGCTTTTGAGAGATGGGGACCCTCATCCAGCAGTGAATTGATCATGGATAGTGGGGATGATGATATTTCACAGGATATACTATATTTATGGAAGCATGGATTTCTGTTATATTCTCAATCAACGTTATTTGTATCGTTCAAATCATGATGGCAGGCGTAACACACTAAACTCGGTCGCGTTGTGGGGGGCTATTACGTAAACCCGTTGAACTGTTCACATGCTGCAATATTTGGCGACTCTTGGGGGTGCTAACATCCGAATACCTTGCTAAAATACTTTCTGAAAAGAGGCGGATCGTGTTAAATTGTAAGTTGGGTCGTGAAAATATTAAGATTGGCATAAAGGAATGCATGTCATTAGACAGATCTTTATTTTTGGCGAAAGATTTTTTCTCGGTGGAAACTTATTTGTTCAGAAGAAAGCAATGCAACAATTAGTGTCAGATTCTAAATACATTTAGACAAAAATTATAAATCTTCATGCCAAAATGCACATCCATACTCGAAGAAAACACTTGAGTAAAAATAGCATTTGGCATATTTCCTATTGTTCGATTCGAAAAAGTGCTATTTACTTGAATGCGTTTGGAAAACGGATAAAGGAAAAAAAAATACGTCCTTCCAAAAAGTATAACCTCGCATGCAGGATGGAAATGCACGAATACATTTTGCGAGAAATGGATGCATAATTAATTAGAAAAAGGTTACAAGTGATGTATTCCAATTAATCACAGTTATGTTGAAGTTGCGACTGTAAAGACAACATGCAAATCGTCATCATAATGATCACGCCAGGCCAGTTGTGGCCATGAAACCAAAATAATTTTAACTGGTAAAGATCAAAAAGTACTTCATTCATAGGAATATAGTTTGTTTCGAAAAAGCAGAGTTATTTCTCCTGTTTAGTATTCGATTCCCAGTGATTTTCTATACAAAAGCTATGTGCACTTGCTCTGTTAAATTATGTAGTGTTCACCATACATCATAAACTCAAAAGCAAAGCACAAATAAACTAACACACACGTTTTTGACACGGAATCACAATGCAATGAAGGTGATAGTGCTTAAGGGAAGAAAAAAAACAAACCGTCCAGGGCTTGAAGCGTAGAATGAGTGGAGGGCGACCTGGAGTGGGTTATAACACCTGGAACAAATTACAAAATTGCATTTCAAACAAAGAACAATTAAAGGCAACGGTCCCGCCTTGTTATTGGCATTATCTCCATCGCAACCACCATCATGATGACCACCTTTAGCATATCACTTTGCCGCTGCCAGCACCAAGGTGGGCGCAGCATGTCTCTCTCCGCATGGTTAATCCTAAAGTTAAGCCTTTGTAAAGAGGGACGCAATGAAGCACTTCATGTGCAGACATGCCAGTCTCTCTGCATCACTCTTTAATCGCCTCGCCTTTCCAAATTGCACATGGACCGGCACGCAAAGTCCACATGGGAAATCCACCGAGGCGCCAATTTGTATTGCCACACCACCAACGCCATGATGGGTGCCACGGTGGCGAGATGTTGACTGGCTCGCCTGGTATGAAGGAGGTCCGTGGGTTCGACCCCGACCTGACGCCTGCTGTATATTTGGAGTTGGCGTGTCTCTCTCCACGTGGTCGTGTGGATTTTTCTCTGGATCCTTCGGGGTTTCCCCTCTTCATTCAGATACATGCGTTTGGAGTATTTGTGCTACTACACATTTCCACATGATAAGCCACTTCATTGAGCTATCATTTGTGGCCAGGTTGCTTCGGTAAAATAAAGTTTCGTTTTTAATCGTTTTTAGGAATATTCTCGTGTGCAGGAGTGATATGTTTCTGTTGAACGTGAGAGATGGTTATGGATTGGTAGGCCTTCATCTGGCAGTGGATAAACCATTGCTGATTATAATTAAACAAAATGTTTAGCTGATTTTCAGTTACGTAGCTCAGAATTTTGGCCAGAGTTGATCATTAGCATACTGGACATCTGTGAAAAAAAGCTTAATCGGTCATCGGATTTTTCCAGGATAAATAAAGATTGTGATCATCATCAATCCCATCACTCCACTACTATCACCACTACCATCATTATTAGCGTCATATATATCAGCATTATTTATGTATTTATTTATTCGGTCAGTGCCCTGTCTGTAGACAACTCCAAGGCATTCTGGCCTCCACGTTGCTTCATCTTGTGCTGCTTTCTTTGTCCGTACATCATTACTTGTTGAACATCGTCTACCATCGCCGGTATTTTTCTTCTTGGTCTTTTTCAAAGAATCTTCCCTCGATTACTTCTTTCAGCTCATTCGCTCTCACCACTACCTGCCCAGTCACCTCTCTCAGCTCATTCCTCTCACCACTACCTGCCAAGTCACCTCTCTCAGCTCATTCCTCTCACCACTACCTGCCAAGTCACCTCTCTCAGCTCATTCCTCTCACCACTACCTGCCCAGTCACCTCTCTCAGCTCATTCCTCTCACCACTACCTGCCCAGTCACCTCTCTCAGCTCATTCCCACTCACTACTACCTGCACAGCCACCTCTCTCAGCTCATTCCCACTCACTACTACCTGCCAAGTCACCTCCTTCAGCTCATTCCCACTCACTATGCGCCCATTTCAGATGATTTTCCTGATGAGATTGAACGAGTCCACGGACTTTTCCCACCCGACGTTAGAGTTGTTGTTTATCTTCCGTCGAGCCTGTTTTCATAACTCGACATTCCAAAACTTTTCCGAGCACTCCATCTCTCTGGTGGATGCGGGGGGGGGGGGGGATAAAATGATGTGTGTGAATACAAGAGCCCAACTCCGCCTTATGGTGCGATCCCAACAATTGCATTTGCGCCCCCCTCCGCCCCCCAAAAAATAACGCGCCCAGTGTGCTAAAAAAAAAAGGAGTCGCGCACCACGAATGAAAATGCAGCATTATTATTGTTTACGTGACACGTGCAAATAATGCCTTTCGCTGCTGTCGAAACGGTTTTGACAACAAGGTGTGGGTGGGACGCGGCACAAACACCGCCCACCCCCCAGCGCGTTGTGTAATTTGCCCCACTTGGAGCTGACGCCTACCGCCAATTTAACTGGTGAAACGCGCGCGCAAAAAATATATATATCCTTCAACCCAGACAAATGAAAGCGTGAGATTGCGCATGTAAACCATAATTATATAATTATAGAGAGCGTGAGGGAGTCACGGCCTGCTATTTGCTTAATCCGAGTAGGGGGCACCTATTCACAAATCAAGAATAAAAATATTTTACGTAGTCGTGAAAAACTAATTAAATGTGTATTTAAATAATAATACTGAGATTTCCATTCATGAAGCAGATTTCCATCAAGGATTTCAACGGGCTGTACAGGACGCATCTCGGCATGAAATTAATTTCATTATAAATTCATTTTAAAATCCATTTACGAAATGAACTAAAGGTTTAATAAGCGGAAGCGTGTATTTATGTTTTATGACGCATTTTTGAAAAACATGTCCACAGACTCAGAGATCCTGATATCTCGTCGAAGAGCGTTCCATATAGCCTGGGGGCTACACGGGGGGGGGGGGGGAATATTATTTTCCTTTCACCGCTTATTTTTGTACAACAACGGGGAACCCGTGGCTACACTTCACACGCGCTGCGCCTAAGAAAACGCTGAAAGTATCTCGACAACAACCGGAATGGCCATTTACTCGGATAATTAGCAAACTGTTTCAGCCCATCATTGCCACATGCATCGCAATTACCCCCATCGACACGAAAACACCCCGCGTGGACACTGGTATAAGTGTCCCTCGCCTCGTATTATGGTGGCACTCGTGCATACTTTAACACCATATTTACTTGCAGTCACACGGGGAGCACGATACTCAACAAGCCTTTTCAAAAATCTATCAAGGACCCTACATTGGGCTACGTGACCTCATATGCATTTCTCCCTCCCTCTCCCTCTCTCAGAGGTGCGGAATCGCGCCTCGGGCCACAACCCACGCCCAATAAAGGGGGGCGACTTCCTTTTTGTTCAGGCATCGGCGAACTTCCTCTCCGTTCGCCAACGCCCACGAGCAGTGCCAACTTTGCTGAGTAGATCAGCAGGCGTGCTCATTGTGCTTCCCGGTCGGCCGGCAGGGTGCCGCGCCGCTGATCGCGCGACGCCTGTGAGCGCGCGCGTGCCTCTGGAGAGGCTGTGGTTGGGTACCGACCGGGCATTAGGGGGGTCGGCATGCAAAATAACGAGAAGAGACAATGCTTTTTGTTTGTTCCGAATTCGCTAAGAAACTCATTTTTTTCAAGAGCCGTAATGCAAGTGAACACGAGACGGTC